TAATGGCAATGTCTTCGATGACGGAGATTAAGGATGAGTGCAGTGTTTCTCATGACTACGCAAACCCATTTGCGACCTGCATATTTTCCAGCACCATGAAAATGCACCTACTTATGTCTTCTTGCTGTACTGACATGCTTACAGATCTCATACGTAGCTCTATAAAATTCTGGACTCTAGACATATGTCTTTGATTATGTAATGTCTTCTTGTTGTACTGACATGCTTACAGATGTCACACATAGCTCTTTAAAATTCTGGACTCTAGACATACGTCTTTGATTATGTAATGTCTTCTTGTTGTACTGACATGCTTACAGATGTCATACATAGCTCTTTAAAATTCTGGACTCTAGACGTACGTCTTTGATTATGTAATGTCTTCTTGTTGTACTGACATGCTTACAGATGTCATACATAGCTCTTTAAAATTATGGACTCTAGACATACATCTTTGATTATGTAACTGTTCTTTGCCCATCAAACATTTAACATCAACTGCGAAAGCTTAACTCATATTGTTGTCTATTTGATTTGAAACACCTGTTTCAATCGAAACCAATGGTTTTCCTCCTCTATTCAACCTTGCTGGGACTTCCTACGTTAAGGTCATACAATCTCAAATGGGCTACACAAAAGTGTCTTAAGGTCATTTGTAAACTCCAGTCCTGGAGTTATTCTTTTTGCGTCAGTTTCACCCAAATAAGCTGTCAGATTTTGTCCCCTTTAAAAATTCCATATCAAAATAATTTGATATTGAAAACAAACATGTTTTAAAACAAACAGAATGGATCTGATTTGCATTTGAAATGTTTTTATATCTATGAATTAAATCAATGGTACTTGTACATTATAATAGTCTGATTCTGTACTCAAGTTTTTCAAGTCTGTCAGTTTACATTTATTCAGAACATCAAAATTACTAGAACATATTTAGTCTTTATTAATAAAGTTTTTCAAAAGCTTTCCCACAAACTACAGTGTCCTATGTAATACTTAAAGGGGTGGAACAGCCTATCTTTGCAAAGTTTTGTTGAAAACAGCAGAGACTGAGATGAATAGTGTAAAGACATAAACAAGTTAACATTACTTTAAGTACCTGTCTCTGGCTGGATTATATTAAGTAATATCTGAAACTTAAGGAATTGTCAAATTAAGATTGCCTTATTGGAGAACCAGAAAATCTATCAGTAACACTAAAACTGACTAATCATTCTTGTCTACTGCAGGGAGATCCCAACCAGCAAGTGCTGTGGGAACAATTGGCAGAAACACTGGGAGCAGAAGGCGGCGGTGGTTCTGGCATGGAAGAAGGACTGGGAGCCATGGGGGGAATGTTTCAGAACATGGTCAAACAGCTGCTGTCTAAAGAGCTGTTGTACCAGCCACTCAAGGAAGTCTCTCAAAAGGTAAGACTATTATATCTTTTCAAGTTGACATTTCCTATGACAGAATTTCTGGTTTTCCACCAACTAGCTCTACTCCTTTTTTTATCTATTGTTGATTAATATATAAATGGCTTACAGTACTTAGATTCTGAGGGATCTCAGGTTTGAATCCCAGTGCAGATCTGAATTTTGAATTTCAGGATTTTTTAAGATGTCCCAGATTCCACCCAAATCTAATGGATACCTGAAATTAGCTGGGGAACGTAAAGGCAATTGTTTGTTGTGCCATAGAAGCAGATACCTTTATATCATCTGCTCCAAGGTCTAAAAGGGTTACTTTACTTACTTGTTAATTTTCCCATAACTGTTGTGAGCCTAGCTTTTACGGCTTAACTTTAACTGAAGTAACAACAGGATAAATAATTCAAATCTTAAGGAAATAACATTAATTGTCCAAATCATGACTCATCAGAATAATTTGTTAACACAATTAAATCCTGCTTCAATACTTTTTATTAAAAACATATGTATTCCTTTAGCTTAATTCATAAATGAACTGTAAAAACTGTCAAAAATACAAATATTTCAGCCTCACTTCACAATGTCAAGATGATAGCTCCTTCATTTTTTATTTTATGTTGTCTGCACTTGTTTTTTAAAAACAAGATGAACTCTTTAAAAAAGATATATATCACCCCAATTATAGATCAATACAGTATTGCCCAAATATTATCATTACAAGCTTAGTGATTAAGTAGATTAGGTTCTGTTAGTTTTTGACCTTATGGTTTAAAGTTAGTCTGAAAAGGAGAGCCAATAAAGCATCTGAAATAGTCATCTAAGCTTTCTATTACTTGGCAACCATTAAAGTTGATTGATAAGGAGATAATACAATGATAATAATTCTTGAACAGTTTCTCCGTATCTCATAGAAAAAGAAATTCTAGATTTCCTGAGATGTATTAAAAAGAAAAGTCTTGTTCATTAAACTATCTTTCAGTTTTTAAATTAGTTATCTTTCTGAAATACTCTTTCTCTCTAACTTTATTCAGTATCTGTATTTCCATCCCATGTATCCAGTACCAGGTGTACATAGAAGAAAAACAGCATGATCTTGAACCAGAGAAGCTGATAGTTTACCGCAAACAGCTGGAGATTATTGAGAAAGTTGTGGAGCACTTAGATGGGGACTCTGATGATCATAGCCTGGAAGAGAAAAACTCTCGATTTGAAGTTCTTTTAGACTTATTGCAGAGGGTAAAACTTTTTTTTTGCTGTATTTATCCTTTATGATACAAATTGATTTTGTGCTAGATTCTTGATGTTTTTTTTTTAGTATTAATAAGATAGAGATTGTTATAATTTTTTTTAAAGGTATTCACAGAGAGAAATTAACTAACATATAGAATCTACATTTTCTTACTTGCTTATCACTCAACCAACATTTGGTTTCTAACAACTCCTGACTCCAACCAACATTTGGTTTCTAACAACTCCTGACTCCAACCAACATTTGGTTTTTAACAACTCCTGACTCCAACCAACATTTGGTTCCTTACAACTCCAGACTCCAACCAACATTTGGTTCCTAACAACTCCTGGCTCCAACCAACATTTGGTTCCTAACAACTCCTGGCTCCAACCAATATTTGGTTCCTAACAACTCCAGACTCCAACCAACATTTGGTTCCTTACAACTCTAGACTCCAACCAACATTTGGTTCCTAACAACTCCTGGCTCCAACCAATATTTGGTTCCTTACAACTCTAGACTCCAACCAACATTTGGTTCCTAACAACTCCTGGCTCCAACCAATATTTGGTTCCTAAAAACTCCAGACTCCAACCAACATTTGGTTCCTAACAACTCCAGACTCCAACCAACATTAGGTTCCTATCAACTCCTGACTACAACCAACATTTGGTTCCCAACAACCTCTGGCTGCAGTACATTTTTATTCTAAATATTTAAAAAAAATGAAATTTGATTTAATAAAATAAACTTTGTTTTAAGCCCTTTGCTAGATGTCACAGACCAATATAAATTGTTTTGTCTTCCTAGATGCATGAACTTGGTGCTCCGCCCCAAGAAGTTGTTGGAGAAGGCAATATGGTCATGCCAAACTTTGGTGACTTGGGAGAAATGGGACAGGTGAGAGAATGAATGGGGACATGGCTTCAGAGATCATTTACAGTTCAGCTGTTTCTGACATATTTTGTGTACATTCAGTTGTTCATTCGAAGTTTCTAACTAAAATATTTTCATCCTTATAGATGATTTAAAGGTCATCAGTTTCTATGGTTGATGATTAGGGCAGATGATGTAAAGGTCATCTTTTTCTATGTCTGATGATTAATGATGTTATCATTACCATGTGGCCAGCATAAAATCCAACTACATTTACTTTCCCCAACTAATTTCAGGAACTTGAGTTTCGTGGACTCAGGTATGTCCTAAAATTCAGAAATGTAAAATCCCAGTCTTCAATAACATTTGAGCCGGAGATCCCTCTGTTTAGAAGCCAAGCACTTTGCCACCATGCCCTAGAGATTTGATTGATTACAACTTATGGAACAACTTAACAATTGTAGGAAGCTCTAAAAAATACAAAATTGGAAGATTTTATAAAAATGTTAAAATTCTTTTTGGAATTTAAATATTGTCAGTCACCATCAGAATTTCTAGTTTTTCATATTCACTCCATGGCAATTTAAGCTGCTGATTCTTCTTCAGAAATACAAAACTTCAGTTTTAATATTTAGGTAAAAAAATGGGATTTTTTTCTCTCTTGACAAATTGCTATTGAAAATATTTTTCTAGGTTTTCAGTTTTTTTCATGTATGTGAATTTGAACCAAGTGACCCACCATCACCACTGTAAGACTTTGATATTTAGTTTCATTTCTAATAATGAGTTTTCTTCTGCTTTTTTTTTTTTTCTTCTTGTTTAGATCCCCAACTTGGGTCAGTTTGGTGGAGCTGCACCTCAGGACCCTTCCCAGTGTTCACTTATGTGATAAATAGGGACTGGAATATTTATTTGTCTACATAACACTTTATCCAATGAAGAGACCAACAGAGACTTGGTTTACTAGTTCAAAACCTGAAGATATTTTGTTTGCTGAAAAATTGTCACTGGATTATAAAGTTCAACAACTCATTGGTAAAATGATAGAAGATATGGGAGGTGTGGTACCACTGGATGAATATAGAAAGAGGAATTACAGTTTTCAGAGTGTTATTAGCTTGGATATTTTTGTAGTCTGAACAGTTATGTGCTTTCTTTATGCATAATGTCATAAACTGACATTTTTATATTTAATATTGTTAAACAGAATGCAGCTAATGATTTTGAAGTAACTGAAAGAAAGTTAAATTTACATTGATCCTAAATAGTACACATTTTTTTATTGAAACAATTTAAGAAAGATATTTTTTCCTTATAAAATATTATCTGCCAAAAAAGAAAGAAGTTTTGAAGACTATGGTGCCAATGGTGAAAACTAAAGAAAATGTCTTTTATGGATTAGATCATATAATTGATATCCTAATTTTTGAGTATCAGGATTGAACTGTTTTTATTCGCTTAGGCTATGACCAAATTTTTTTTTTTTATAAGCAGAACAAAAAGTTGAAGGTAAAGAAAAATTGTATGAATAGAATGCTTGTACTATTCTGAGGAGCTTATGCCAAGATCATTGACCTTAGTGATCTGTGATTGTGACTTTTATGTTCACTTTCAAAAATGTTCTTTTTGTTATCAATGGCTTCAATTGAAATGAATCTGTGTCCCTTTAGTTGAGAATGTTAAATTTAAATAAATTTGAATTGAGTTGTACTACTTTCAGTCAGTCAAGAATAAGGAAGGACCAACAATTTTTTTTTGCCAAATAAGGCGCATGTTGTAGCTAATCACTTGATATCAAGTTAATGAACTAGATTAATGAAAGCATTTAATTTTCTGTTTTATATGCTTTGATTGTTCTTCCATTAATGAAGATTACATTATGTCCTTGCCTTAACTTCCTGCAGGACAGCAGAAGTGAATTTAATACAAGTAGTTTTCCTTGCAGCTAATGCTTACATGAATACACTAGTTCATTAACTTTGCTTCAAAGAAAATTACTTGTCTTAAATTTACTGCTGTTGCTAGTCAATCGTTGATAAAAATAAACTTGCTGGAACGTCAATTTGAAGTATTTTAATTCTTCTCAACTCATTATTTTTGTGGTCCTGTTGAGAAATTCAAGATACCTTCAGACAGTAATGTCATTTCAAGATATTAAATTTAGTTCCCCCTATTGTTAGATTTTTTTAAAATGCTACCGTAAGTAATTATGACAGTATTAGTTGTTTATGATTAAGTTTATTTGGTGCAAACATAAATTTAAATCCAAGATATAATTTATATCAATTTTAAATAATATGGCTGCCTGATGTGGTATGCGCTGCTGTCTTCAGACTCACCAGGATGGCACTGAGTTGAAACCCTGCCCACCCATCCCCTGCAGTCATGCAAGACTTTAAGGCTAGGACTTAATGTAATCTTCATTGATGAAAGAACATTCAAAGCGTATAAAGCAGAAAATCTTTTCTAAACAATATTTTTTCAGCCCATATGGCTGTCTATCACTGTATTAAGTAATCATACTATTTGGTTCCACATGAAATGTAAGTTTTATGCTATTTTACCGTCTTTCTTTAAACATGTTACATCATTTATAGATTTTATCAAACACAAATGTCTTCATATTTATGCTAATGTCTCAAGTAAAAAAAAATCAAAACAGTGATTGTTGACAGTCGTTTTTGGTTCACCTGTAAACCCGATGTTATCTGTGAAAAAATATTCTTTTATTAATTGTGAGGTTTTTTTTTTGTTTTTTTTTCAAATTACATTATCTTGCATATCAAATGCTGGGCAAAATGAGTCTCTATCTGCAGGCCTTTTTCTTTCATGCCATTCAATGTAAATATTTTAGTGCATGTTGTTACAGAGAAATAGCGCTGCTAAATTAAATACATTTACTATAATATATAGTTTGAAAGGCCTTATTGAAAACTATTAATTCTAGCATTTTGTAAAGTGTAAAAAATATTCATGTCAGAGTTCAAAATAGTCCAAAATTGTGAATTTTATTAGATTTTATTTGGAGTATATTTAACTCCCCTCCAGTCAGCCCATCACTTCATTTGACTTTTTGTCGTGTTCTTAGCCATCCTAGGCTCATTTTGCTTGAAACAGTCACTGTTAAATGACTCACAGCTTTGTGACTCTTGGGTGAAAAAAAAAACTATTTAACATGACTGCTGCTACTCTGGGGTCAATAAAGAAATGTCATTAAAAACATGATTGTTATGTGTCTCTACTAGTTCTTCATGGCGACAGACTTAAGGACTAAGAGGCCTGTTAGAAGTCCTATTTCTTCTCATGGTATAGAAAAGTACAGTTTATCTGTTGCTATGGACTCTACTGTAGACATTGTTAAGTTTATTAGACATAGAGGTCTGTTAGAAGTCCTAATTCATCTCGTGGTATAGAAAAGTACAGTTTTAACTGTTTCTATAGACTCTACTATTGACATTGTCAAGTTTACATTTATTTAACCTTACATCTGCCTGCTCAAATATTGTCAGTTGCTTTCTCTGTGCCTTTATGTCTGCTCTATGGACTTGTATATTAAATACTATCCAGATTGTTTTAATTAGCATTTTTTAAATCTGTCATTAACTTTGCGAACTAGGGATTTAAAAAAAAAAAAAAAAGAGCCCATTTTGAATGAGTACTTCTAACACTGAACTAAAAAAATGTTTCATAATAAAGTAATAACTTTCAAGTTGTACTTGAGGTTTTCTAGAGCTAGCCCCATTTCTTAACTCTTTCTCTCCGTAGTTATTTTCCATATTCTGATGGAATTATTCGTTTTGCTCATTTTGTGTTTCACTACCGTGTTATGAATTAACTTTTTGGTTTGTTATCAGGAAATATTATATCAGGTATAGAATTTTAGCTGAATGCATGCTCTTTTTATACAACACAAGTTAAAATTTAAAAAACAAAATTTAATTTAATGGGGTCAAATCAATATTGGTATCGTCAGCTAGGAGAGAAAGAGTTAAGAATCAGCTTGGATGAAGGCAGTCTCTACTCATTCTGTACATCTGAAAGTTTGATTCCCTTTTAAAACTATGAGCATTAAAAGTAAGCATTAGTTGGTGGTCAATTTGAATTTGCCCAATACTTGGTTTTTATTCTGGATTGTTTTTTTTTATTGGCAACTATTGTCTGCCCATGACTCTGTGAAATTAGAGAAACCATGAATTGTGTTACAATGTGGCTTTGCAATAATTAGTCTTAGTTTAATGAATGTTTTTAATTCAATTGATTCTAATTCATATATCTTTGCAATAATGTGATCAAGACATTTTGAAAGTGTGACAAACATATGTTTGTGTGTATGTGTGTGTATACAGCAAGACAAACTTTTGTAAACATTGTGTGGTGTGTGTGTTGGTGGGTGTAAAGGGAAGTTAATTTCTATTTCTTTTAATTATTTGTATTTTAAAAACCTGTTTACATTTTGATGTCTTAAGACAGTTTTAATTTGTTAAGCACAGAATAATGAATGAGAGGGGAAGTTCAAATGTACAAGTCTCAGGTCCTTAGTATGTCATTTTTATCTTGGTAAAAAGACAAGTTGCAGTAGTGTAGCCAGTTCATACAGCAGTATCACCAAATACTTTTTTTTTCTCTTACCCAGTCAGTCCTGTCCTTAAGTCCTGATTTACAATCTCACCTTCCACCAAGATTTGAACTTAATTTCATCAATTCTGTATTCAAGTTTTTTTGTTCCCACCTGCCAACAACAACAACAACAAAAAAGAATGTCCCACTTATACTGGATTTTCTTCATCTAGCCATCTGAGTGGTAGGCTCTTTGCAATCTGTGCAGTGGAAAAGTAATTACTGTTCTTCTTAGTTCTGTACTGCATACCACATATCACTTAATTACGGTTGGGGGGCTGATGTTAATACACTAATGGAGTGATTCTATAGACTTAAAATACTTTAAATCTTTTACAGAACATTGAATGGTTGGGTTGTTTTTCTTAGTTTTTTTGCTGTGATGTTTTATTCCTTTAAGTCAGATGATATAATATTTGCATACACCTGTAAGGATCGTTTGGTTTATTGAGTACTAACATTTCTCAAGTCTGGATTTTGGTTTGTTTAATGTATTGTAACGGTTTTCTCAGTAGTGAATATGTTTGCCATGGGTTGATGTGAGTAGTTCGATGTTTTATCTTAATGCTTGTGATTGGTTAGCATGTGAAGTCTTTTGACTTAGTTGTGGAGTGAAATAATTAGTTCTTAGCGGGCATGCTGAATGGTTGGACTTATCTCCCTTTTCCCAAGGAACTCTTCATTCACCACCCTACTACCAACAATGTGATTTTAAATTTGTTCCTAAGGGACTTTCACCCAAGTTTGTGACATTATAGCCCACATTGAGTGCTAGTAGAGATAGTGTGATGTGTCAGCAGTCAATGATTTTCAGAGCAAGTTCATATTTTGATTTGTTGATGCTGTAAATATCTTGTGTCATTGTGTGAATTACAGACTAGAATGTTATAGCCTTTCTAAACACTTTGAATAAAACAGTTCACGTTTAGTGACGACAGTATTTATTATTTGTTGTCCTCTTGAAGACATTTTTCTTTATTTCTGTAGACACAAATATTTCAAAAAGATTTTTTTAAAAATTTTTAGTAAATAAAAAGTGTAATATCATATGTTATAGTTAATAAGATTCTTAATTCAATGTTGATACTGTTTAGCATCTTTCTACATAAAGATGTTTACAGAGGTGATGATGTTATCATTAGATGAAAATCTCTGTCCATCGAGCACAAAGTTTAGATACGAACACAAAGTTTAGATACCGGTAAGGCACTAAATAGGACTACTGGATGGATAGGTCAGTGAGGTGGGGAGCCAGGCAGGAAGTGAATATGGGAGACAAAATAGTGGATGAAAAAAATACCTTTTATTGTTAGCCACCCTATACACACATCATTTTGAATTGTACATGGAAAAACATTAACATGTAATATTAAGATTCAAGTGTGATTATGGAAGGGACAAGACCTTGGGTAGCAATGTGGAGACACACTACTGACTTGGAACCTGGTTGGTAAAGGTAGACATTAGACTGGTACCTGGTTTCTGCTAGGTTATAGGGCTGGTTCTGAGGTCTGTGTTTTGAGTCCACCTCCGGGCTTACTCTTGTTTCACCATATTTTCTGAACCTTCTACTCTCAATAATCTTGGTACCTTAGTGCTGGTATTATTATGTGTTAAAAAGTAAGTAAATTTTCCCTTTCAGACCTTGTGGTCTATAGGACAGATGATGTAAAGGTCATCTGTTTCTGTGGCCAGCACAACAACCAACCGCCTTTACTTTTCCCCAACTAATGTCAGGTACCCATTAGAGCTGGATGGACTCATAGGGGCCCAAAGATCCCAACTTTAAAAATCCCAGTCTTCACCAGGATTTGAACCCGGGATCCCCATTTCAGAAGGCAAGCATTTGTTACAGATCATGTTTATTCATTTTTGTATCAGCAGTTAAAAGTTTCAAACTCCATTTACAAGTTTCATAAGGAAATGTGTCCTATTTGTAAAAGTCTACTTTCAAGCAAAGATAAAAAAAGTGAGTGTGTGTGTTTAAATAGGACATTCAGATAATAAGAATGATGTTATTAGGCCACAGAGCTCTTCAAGTAAATGTGACTTTGATCATGATATCCTGAGTCTATAAACTGTAAATTCAATACAAAGCAACACTCAAGACAATCATTACAAAGCTTACATCAATTCTGTTTGTCTGGTAAAAAGTTTGTATACGTTATTTCTACCACACCTAATCTTATATCAAGTTGGAATTTCGCACAATCATTTCTTGTACCTGACAAAACAAGAATAAAAATAACCAATTAATTAATTAACTATTAGTTATTGAATAAGGGAAGGAAAGTGTACTTGATGGTTGTGGTGATATAAATTGAATTAGTCCCCTTTATACTTTGTAGAGAATTAGGTCACCTGAAACTAAACTTAACTAAAAAAAACTATTTTCATAAGCTAATCATTGGCTTGAGCCCTTTAGTTCAAATTCAAGTCATTTTTTTTTATTTAATAAAATGCATTTAAAAACTATCATGGTAACTAATCTTAACCCTAACCCCTTCTTCATTCTCCCGCTAAAAGAATGAAACTGCACTTAAACAAAGCCAAAGGAGTAAAACTATTTATAATCACAGATTTATTGTTGGAAGTGTTATTCTATTACAAATTTAAAATCACATGACTGAGAGAAGGAATTTTATAATTGCACTTGATATAAGCTTTTTTTTTTTTTTTTTTAAAGTATTATATATAAATTTAACTTGTTTTTAAGTCTTTTCCCCTGTCAAACAAAGATACATTCAGCACAAAGCAACAAAGACAAAAATTTCAATCTTCTAAATGTTTATTTTGTTTTGATTTTTTGTGTGTGATGAACCGAAACCATTCATTATAGAAGGCCTCAAAATTGACCAGCAAGGTTGCAACCTGTGGGCAATTTAGACCAATCGCTCATTGTAACATCATACAGAGCCATTGGTCTTCACTGCCCACAAGTTGTGATGTTCTAGTAAGTGTTCAGGCCTTCTATGATGATTGGTCTCAGATGAACACAAACAAAACCAATGAAAACTTGTCCAATGTTTGATGTCAACAAAAGATCAACATTGAAAAAATGAACTTTGACCCCACCAAGTTCTTTTATTTTTTTTGTAAGTTTTAAAGAAGACTATACCATACAAAATATAAATGCATGCATAGGTTATGTTATATTACATAAGATAACTGAATTTAAACTAGTGATACTGACGACATAATTAGATTTCTACTGGTTATATATATTTAATCCACAACTCAAGCACTCTCTAAATAATCTAGTATTGTCAACTACTTTACTTCTGCCACAGCCCCATACCTTAATTTTATGCGAAGATGTCTTTACCTCAAATATAGACATGCATTTTGGGCTAAAGCCTTTCCCCTTTGCTAAACTCGAAAGTATCACACCGCAATTAAAGGCCATTGTAAAATTTTACAAATCACAAGCTTCTGTAACAATAGTGGTTACAGGTTCTCAAACTGGGAAGGAAAGGAAGTGGGAAGCAACCTCTCAGCTAACTTTCCATTAAAATAATTGTAACAACTGACAAATATTTATTGACTATTGCTTCATATACCGGTTATAGTAATTTTTAATATTTATTCAGCATCTAAGAATATTTTGTACAAAGTAGCTTTTCAAAAGAAAGCTACCAAACTTAGAGATTTCAAGAAGGCACAAACCAAAAAGTTGTCTATTTACAAAGATTTACAGCAGAATACACAAGGTAGAGCTCTATGTACGTATAAAATACATATCTCTGTGGCATTTTACGTCTGGAGAGACGATCCTTTTCCTTTGCAACTTCTTGTGTGACTAAAGAGGCCAATCCTTGATACACAGCTGCGATCGCAGGTTGGGCATATATACATATATATATATATATATCAAATCATGTACAGTATATTACACTGATCACATTCTCAGCAATATTAAAACAAATTTTAAAGACGTAGAAACATACACAAACTTTGCATCTACATGCTGTATAGCACAATTCAGAACTATGATGTTGTCTTTGGTTAGAGTCTAGCCACCACAAATAGATTAGCTCAAAATACAATTTACAAAGTAAATTAGAAAAAAAAAACCCCAAGAAACAAAGAGATATAAACACTTTATAGTTTGACAAAATTATAGACTTGAGCCTGAAGATTAAATTAATACTAATAATGACAATGTCTTCGTTTCCGAAGATTGAGGATAAGTGCAATGCTTCACATGGCTATCCAAACCCAGTAGCAACATCCATATTTGTCCACATTTGATTCAGACAAAGCTGTAGCTGAGGGAAAGATTGAGTTAGTAACATAAAAATCTATCTGGCCAAATTCTCTATTTTACAAATCTGAATAATAATACATTTGTATTGCACTCTTGATAAACAGACTATACATAGCACATCTAGTTGCCCATAGAATATCCAATGCTTTAGGTACAAACTATGGACTCTATTTGTCAGAGCCAATATCCTTAAACGGTAATAATTTTATAAAAACTTCACTTTATACTGTATACAGGCCTAAAGCACCAAGCTAGTAATACTATAGTGTAAGTGTGTAATGCATGCAATTTAATTAATAATTAATACTCCCTAAGAGAGACAATCACATAAAACAAACTGACCTGTTCAAACATACCCCATGAGGGAAGCAGAGCTGTAGCTACAGCTTCTAATACTATCAATCCACATTAGAATAAATCTAATATCACTAAGATTGTTTCTAAAGTGTCTTAGATTTCAAAGGGCTCACTTGTTTCTTTAGAATAAAATGCTTTTTAGTTGTTGTTGTTTTTTTTTAAAATTAAAACTTGAACCATTTTTGTAAGATATTATATGTAAATGTATATACCTTGATTATGAAGACAAATATATTGGTAAGAAAAAGGTTACATAAAGTTAAGCAATGAACCAAAATAATAATGACATTACAAAACTGTCAATATAAATGTATCAAGGAAGACTTGTTTTCCTGCACATGATATAAAAACTAAAAAGAAAAAAAAATTGGGAAGCATTAATATTCACAAAATAAATTTTGGAAAAAAAAAAAAAAGACTAAAATACTGATAGGCTAAGTATATTTAAACTCAACCACTTGAACTCAAGTCACTTGGAAAACTTCTGCTATATATTAATTGTTCTATTTCAATTAGTGACACAGTAACATGGCCAAATAATTGAAAAACAAATTATTTCAAACAAGTTTGTGTAAGTAAAAGTGGTGTGTCAGTGGTTATCAAATAGTATAAGCAGACACATATCAAGAAGTAAGGAAGGAAAGAGAGAGTTAATGCTTCATATTAAAACACTCTGGAAATGTTAAGGAAGGAGAGAGTTAATGTTTCAAATTAAAACACTCTGGAAATATTAATTCTGTTAATGTCAGATGATGCAGAATTTTGTATGCATACATTTCTTGTGTAGATCTAACATTAGAATGAGAAATGTTTAATTCTTGTGTAGATGTAATACTAGAATGATAAATCTGTATTTCCTGTGTATTACTAGAATGAAAGAACTCATTTCCAATGTAGTGAATGAAAATAGTTGAATAGTAGCATTGAAACCAAGTGATAAAATATAATTTAGATACACTGCTCACTTAAGTCCAATCAAAATGAACAATGACAGATTACCTACAAAAAATTTCCTATACCACTATTTGAAAGAAATATTTTTTAAATACAATTTCTGATTTAAAAAAAAAATATTTTCACATATTCTTTAGAGAAGATTTAAAAATATATAAATGCCATAGGTGAAAAAAATAAATAAATAAAACCACATATGTAAATGTTTTTTGTTTTTTTTTAAGTCTATAAATATAGATTCTAATAATATTCCAACACAAGTTTTTTTTTAAAGTTCTTAAAGGATTTGAATCACTGACAAATCAATAAAAACAGTGAAAGTAAAAACAAAAGAAATTACTCCCCTTCCACCAATCCATCCATCCGCTCTATTTATATTTTGTGGTAAATACTTGAACATTGATATATTAAAGCACAACAAGTCAACAAGGCTTATAACAATGGTTACACATTTTAAAGTCACATCACAAAAATTGCCATTTAGAGGAAAAGATAATCATAAATATGAGCATAAGAAAAAGAGGAATCCACTTGGAAATAAGTCTAACCTAAACATCTGAATTCGCTGCATTGTGGCTTAACAAGGGAAAGGCTTCGGGAATAAGCCCTGAGAAAAAAATCAGCAGCCAGTGACCTTTCGGCAGCTTGCAGCACACAGTGCTACACCATTGTGGAACCTACTGATCCCAAACTGTTTTGGGCATTTACCATTCCTTTGGGCACATTGGCTGGGTGGAGAGGGGGAACTGTTGTGTGGGTGAAATGGTTCCAACCATAGCTACTTTCATCTCTTGAATGAATGAATCTAAACATATAGAGAATTTAATCTTTCTCTTAGGTTTTAAAAGTTTTGTCTAAATTTCATTTAGTATTGAGTGATTCAGATTTAACATTTCTAAATTGTAGTCTGTAGAGAGTGATTCAAGTTTATCAAGTCTAAACTGCAGGTACTCTAAAGTGAGTGATTCATGGTCTGTAGAGAGTGATTCAAGTTTATCAAGTCTAAACTGCATGTACTCTAAAAGTGAGTGATTCATGTTGCCAAGAACATCATAAGAACAAATTAAGGGGCAGAACAAAATGTTCACTCCCCCCCCCCCCCCCCCTTGAAAATGAAGACCTAAATAATAATTTTTGTAAGTGGAGTCCTCAGATATACACAAGTACTATGCCGAACATTGACAAGTCTCTTTATACAACAAACTAGAACAGAAAACTTGAAAAAAAAGAAGATATACAATCTCTCTTATGTACACACTAGCATAGTTGAAATTGTAAATCCAGTAACAGCTTATCATTAATTATCTTCTACAATTTTTTCACACAAAAGGCCAAAACAAATTTATTTCATAGAAATAAATTGTTAGCAGTAGTCCAAGGTACATTCTCAAATACAAATAACTTATTTCCAACAAGTAAACACACAAATGCCTGGCTTCACTCAAATAATGAGCTTGTAAACTTAAAAAAAAAAAATGCTACGAAAAATTATTTTTTTTTAAATACACTTTTAAAACCATAAGAGTTGCAATTCAAAAATAAAGAAAACCTCTACAAAAATGTTTGAATTCTAAAAGATATAGTATAATGCCATTAGTACATCCAAAGTGGTGGTGTGGTCACTAGTGGTGATGCGGTCAGTCAATGAACACACAATTATCCAAAGAAACATTTCAAATAGTTAATCTGAAGTTTTCTAAATGATAAATATTTTTTGAAATGTCTTAGTTTTATAAACAGTTGACATAATGTTTGAAACTGTTTTGAACAACTGATTACAATACAATCATTGCAATGTGAAAGGGAAAGTAAGATCCATGTAGTTTGGGGTCCATGTGGTTTGGGGATCATATGGTCAGAAACTACCAAACAAAAATGCTTTTGAAATTTATACACAAAAAGGTGGTAAAATGAATGTTTGGTTCAATAACAAAAAATGTCCACTTCATAACATGAGGCAAAGCCCTTTAGAATGACTTGATCATTTGAATTCAGACCAAACTAAAATGGATGTTACGCTGCGATGAGGTGGCCTCCTATCCCATTTATTGACTAGACTAAAAACATATTTATAAAACTGATTAAGGAGAGCCAAACAAATCAATAGCTTCAAGTTGACAGGCACACACTTCAAAACTTATCACAGTCTATAGAACTTGAAGATCAGTAGTTTCTAATACAAAGGCTTTGTATCTATTAGATACTTGTCTCAAAGCAGATATCCTTTTTTTTCTTCTTTGCAAAGGATAAGTGGCCAGAGCAGAACTCTATTCAAAATACAATTCAATTTAGACTAATACAAAGTATTAACAGTAGAAAAACTAATTATTCCAGTTACTTGTAAAGGTATACTGGCATTTGGCTAGTACAGGATAGTACTTTCTGATAGCCAGCTGGAGCAGGATAGTGGCCTGATATTTTGCTGGGTCAGGATATTGAAAAAGGAGCTACTATCAGTACAACCCTAGCTGGCATTGATCAAAACTCAGTTCAGGTGTCAATTATTTTAGTATTTGATTTACCCCCCCCCCCCCCCCCCCCCCCATCATGGTTTCTGGTGGAAGAGAAACATAGACCTCATTTGAGAAGACTTCCATTTCAAGTCAGATCAAAGAACTAGATGAAAGAGGCAAGACCTCAGTTGAGAAGACTTCAATTTCAAGTCAGATCCAAGAACTAGATGAAAGAGGCACTCACCTCAGTTGAGAAGACTTCAATTTCAAGTCAGATCCAAGAACTAGATGAAAGAGGCACTCACCTCAGTTGAGAAGACTTCAATTTCAAGTCAGATCAAAGAACTAGATGAAAGAG